CGACTCCTGGAAAAACAGACATTTCTCTGCCTTGACATACAGGTCGTGCTCCAACAGCCTACCCAACACGCGACGCACCAGGGCTACATGCTCGTCTCGGGTAGGCGAGTAAACCAGGATGTCATCTATGTACACGACCACACCCTGCCCCTAATGTATCTGAAAATCTCATCCACGAAGGATTGGAAGACTGAAGGAGCATTCATCAACCCGTATGGCATGACGAGATACTCGTAATGACCCGAGGTGGTACTAAATGCCGTTTTCCATTCATCGCCCTCCCTAATGCGCACCAAGTTATATGCGCTCCTGAGATCCAGTTTCGTGAAGAAACGGGCTCCGTGCACTCCCAATCAGAGGGAGTGGATAACTGTACTTCACAGTGATCTGATTGAGACTACGGTAATCTATGCACGGGCGCAACCCTCCATCCTTTTTCTTCACAAAAAAGAAGCTTGAGGACGCAGGAGAAGTGGAGGGCCGCATGTATCCTTGTCTTAGAGATTCGAATATGTAAGTTTCCATAGCCCTCTTCTCCTCTTGGGACAGAGGATACACATGGCTCCGCGGAAGCGCTGCTTCTGCCTGGAGGTCTATCGCACAATCCCCCTGTCTATGAGGAGGCAAACGCGTCGCCCTCGATTTACTAAACACAAGTGCCAAATCCTCATACTCAGTGGGAATGCGCAGTGAGGACACCTGGTTTGGACTCTCCACCGAGGTCGCCCCCACGGAAACACCCAAACATCTCCTCTCACACTGAGTATGACCGCCGAAACCTGCCCGAGCAAGGAGGAGGAGCAGCCTCGGCAGATTCCGTGACAACATATAGATGGGTTAGCTGACAACGTCATGAAAACCATGCTAATTCTTCAATGGGGCAGAAGTCCATGAGTTGTTGTGATTCTGGATATCCAGATTGTTACCAACAATGACAAAAAACTGCCATGTGTGGAATCGGAAGTGACTCGTTTCAGCTAGTTTGATCTTGTTCTTGATACCATGTCTTGTGAGGTGTTTTGACTGATTTCATGTCAATGCTAATATAGCAAAAATTTGCTAGCTAGCTAACCAACAACTGTAACGATGTATTTGAGAGACAACAGTGGCATGTATTAATGGATGCCAAGGGAAGCCAGGCTTTTACAAATTACAGAAAAAAAATAAAAAAACATTCAATAATGTATATTTTGTCTCTTTGTTTTTCATAATTGTCCTTCAATTCGCAAGAGGCTGAATGTATCTCCCTGGAGAAAGCATCCGAGCGAGTGAAACAGTACCTCTGTTCTCTGTCTCTGTACAGTATGTGTAGGTCAAAAAGAGAATTACATTGTTGCCGCCTGTAATGTTGAATTGCAAAAATGCAAGGGAAGCCAGTGAGCATTTGGCCTCCCTTGATAAAAAAAAAGTATAAAATAATAGCCAGTCAGCATTGAGCTAAACTGAGTGACCTCAACTATGAATGGTCCTGGCACACCAAAAAAAAAGTGTCAAGGGAAGCCAGTTTGGATTTGGCTTCACACCAATCACATCACATCGAGAGCAAAATGTAATTGACAGAAAGAATTTGAAATGTTGCATCTCGTTGTGTTGTTGTCCTCTGGTGGCTAGCTAAAATGGTCCCTTTCCTAAATTAGCCATGGATGGAGATAGGGATTTGGACTTGTATTTTTACTTAATTCTCCGTACTGGCCAATGATTATAATGTTGATTCTGATCAGACTATAACTTCATACATTGTGCCCCTGGCCTGAGAGGATGGAAGTTCAATATGTAGCTAAATGTAGTAGGCTAATGTTAACTAGCTGGCTCATCGTTGCCCATTAAAGGAAGTTAGGCTAGCGAGCAAGCATTTCAGCCAGGTAGCCTAGGACAACAAAAACTAAAAGTATGTGTATGACAGAGTCATAGACCGTTTCATCAACATCAAAGAGAGGAGGATGGCATTGGCATTTCTCTACAAGTAGGGTGAATCAACATGTACAGTGGGGGAAAAAAGTATTTAGTCAGCCACCAATTGTGCAAGTTCTCCCACTTAAAAAGATGAGAGAGGCCTGTAATTTTCATCATAGTTACACGTCAACTATGACAGACAAAATGAGAAACAAAAATCCAGAAAATCACATTGTAGGATTTTTTATGAATTTATTTGCAAATTATGGTGGAAAATAAGTATTTGGTCAATAACAAAAGTTTCTCAATACTTTGTTATATATGGCAATGACACAGGTCAAACGTTTTCTGTAAGTCTTCACAAGGTTTTCACACACTGTTGCTGGTATTTTGGCCCATTCCTCCATGCAGATCTCCTCTAGAGCAGTGATGTTTTGGGTCTGTCGCTGTGCAACACGGACTTTCAACTCCCTCCAAAGATTTTCTATGGGGTTGAGATCTGGAGACTGGCTAGGCCACTCCAGGACCTTGAAATGCTTCTTACGAAGCCACTCCTTCATTGCCCGGGCAGTGTGTTTGGGATCATTGTCATGCTGAAAGACCCAGCCACGTTTCATCTTCAATGCCCTTGCTGATGGAAGGAGGTTTTCACTCAAAATCTCACGATACATGGCCCCATTCATTATTTCCTTTACACGGATCAGTCGTCCTGGTCCCTTTGCAGAAAAACAGCCCCAAAGCATGATGTTTCCACCCCCATGCTTCACAGTAGGTATGGTGTTCTTTGGATGCAACTCAGCATTCTTTGTCCTCCAAACACGACGAGTTGAGTTCTTACCAAAAAGTTATATTTTGGTTTCATCTGACCATATGACATTCTCCCAATCCTCTTCTGGATCATCCAAATGCACTCTAGCAAACTTCAGACGGGCCTGGACATGTACTGGCTTAAGCAGGGGGACACGTCTGGCACTGCAGGATTTGAGTCCCTGGCGGCGTAGTGTGTTACTGATGGTAGGCTTTGTTACTTTGGTCCCAGCTCTCTGCAGGTCATTCACTAGGTCCCCCGTGTGGTTCTGGGATTTTTGCTCACCGTTCTTGTGATCATTTTGACCCCACAGGGTGAGATCTTGCGTGGAGCCCCAGATCGAGGGAGATTATCAGTGGTCTTGTATGTCTTCCATTTCCTAATAATTGCTCCCACAGTTGATTTCTTCAAACCAAGCTGCTTACCTATTGCAGATTCAGTCTTCCCAGCCTGGTGCAGGTCTACAATTTTGTTTCTGGTGTCCTTTGACAGCTCTTTGGTCTTGGCCATAGTGGAGTTTGGAGTGTGACTGTTTGAGGTTGTGGACAGGTGTCTTTTATACTGATAACAAGTTCAAACAGGTGCCATTAATACAGGTAACGAGTGGAGGACAGAGGAGCCTCTTAAAGAAGAAGTTACAGGTCTGTGAGAGCCAGAAATATTGCTTGTTTGTAGGTGACCAAATACTTATTTTCCACCATAATTTGCAAATAAATTCATAAAAAATCCTACAATGAGATTTTCTGGATTTTTTTTTCTCAATTTGTCTGTCATAGTTGACGTGTACCTATGATGAAAATTACAGGCCTCTCTCATCTTTTTAAGTGGGAGAACTTGCACAATTGGTGGCTGACTAAATACTTTTTTTCCCCACTGTATTTTCTACTTGCACAAACACACACACACACACACACACACACACACAGTGGTTGAAAAAGTACCCAATTGTCATACTTGAGTAAAAGTAAAGATACCTTAATAGAAAATGACTCAAGTAAAAGTCACCCAGAAAACTTCTACTTGAGTAAAAGTCTAAAAGTAATTGGTTTAAAATATACTTAAGTATCAAAAGTAAAAGTATAAACCATTTCAAATTCCTTATATTAAGCAAACCAAACGGCAGAATTTTCTTATTTGTTTTATTTATGGATAGCCAGGGGCACACTCCAACACTCAGACATAATTTACAAACGAAGCATGTGTGTTTAGTGAGTCCGCCAGATCAGAGGCAGTAGGGATGACCAGGGATGTTCTGTTGATAAGTGTGTGAATTGGACCATTATCCTGTCCTGCTAAGCCTTCAAAATGTTACAAGTACTTTTGGGTGTCAAGGAAAATGTATGGAGTAGAAAGTACAATATTCTCTTAAGGAATGTGGTGAAGGAAAAGTAAAAGTAGTTAAAAATATAAATAATAAAGTACAGATACCCCAAAAAATAAGTAGTACTTTAAAGTATTTTTACTTAAGTACTTTACACCACTGCATGCACACACGCACGCGCGCACACACACACACACACACACACACACAAATCAGAACCATGGACAGCCACATCATATTTAGCTTACGTGGATTGGACTAAATTGTTTTTGGTATCTTTTAGTTGTCACTGTATTAGACTAAGCATAGGTGATTTGATGATGTTGAAATGTTGTAGTTGAAATGGTGCTGGAATAGTGGAGGCAGCTCCTTTTTTCTTTATGACTTGCGGTAACTCTCAGTGGTTCTAAATCAATAGTTGTTTTGTAGTCCGAAAATGTTGGAAACATTAACTTGCTTGACCATGCTGTAGGTCATGTAACTGTTTGTTACATGCAATATGCTTTGTGGACTTCACCAGACAGAGGTTGCTCTCCGGTTTTGTGATGAAACAAAGGTGTGGTTGAATTTATTCTGCCACTGTGTCTTCTTATATCACAGTGACAAGGCATATGAACTAACAGGATTTATAGAGCAAACAACACAATTATCACAACATAGGTTTTAATATGGCTTTTTTGTCTGGCTTGGCTTTCCCAGTGATTTTACCAAAGTATAGCTACTGAGAGACAAGTGCTCATTGTGCAAATGTATGTTTTCAATAAACATTGGAGACTAAATATAGTTTACATGTTGTCAACAACCAACAACCCGACCCATAGTTGAGCACACATCGGTTTTGTTGCTAAACAACCAACCCTTCCATAGCATCAGCAATCCAGGGTTTATATACATCATTTGATTGTAACCAATCCCCATTTCCTTCGTCACGTACCCTCCACGTCCTCTGAGGAAACACTCTCAGCCAATCACCGTTCACCATCTGTAAGCATGGCGGCGGACTTCAGGTGGAGATGTGCTGTGCTTTTGCTCTGTACGTATTTTATATGTATTTTAGCAACGGACGGTGAAAATAACAAGCCCAAGAAGAAGAAAGATATCCGAGATTACAATGATGCCGATATGGCACGGCTTTTGGAGGAATGGGAGGTAAACAACACGCTTTTAATTCGGTTAATAGCCGTTTTTCAGTTACCTAGACAGCTACTGTAGCTAGCTTCTCAGCTAACTAAATAGCTAATCAGAAAGCTAGCTAAATAACATGACCAACATATTTCCTGTCTGATCTTCGTAGCTTGCTAGATAGTTACTTGACCAAAAATATTGCTCAGTCCTGATAAGGTATAGCTATCACGCAACATCATAGCTATAGTCCATTGTTATTGTACTAAATAACTAGCTAACCTTAACCAGCTAAGTTAGCTATACGTTAGTTAATGAGTGAACAAGCTAACGTTAGTTTCACGTGATAGATTCTTTGTAGCTTGGTATCCCCTCGTTTCACTCGCCACACCAAACTTTCTTTGATATCTAGCTAGTTAACAAGGATAGGAACAGAATAGTAAATTAGCTATCTGAACGAATAGCTTTGTCTTTGCATTACTGAAGCACTTGTAGTCAATGATATCATTCATTGTGTAATATTTAAAACTCAGTCATATCTCCTCCCCGCTTCCTTCAGAAAGACGACGACATCGAGGAGGGCGACCTCCCTGAGCACAGACGGTCCCCACCGCCTATCGACTTCTCCAAGGTGGACGCTTCTAAGCCAGAGGAGCTGCTGAAGATGTCCAAGAAGGGAAAAACTCTGATGGTGTTTGCCACGGTGGCGGGAGAGCCTACGGAGAAGGAGACTGAGGAGGTGACCAGTCTGTGGCAGAGCAGCCTCTTCAACGCCAACTTTGACATCCAGAGGTAGGCCTAGGCTTTAGTCTAATGCCGCATTTCTCAAACCTTTCCTCCTCCTCTTCTCCTTCTTCTTCTATTGTATAATGGTGGTCCCCAAACCTATTGTGCTGGAGTGTGCAATCTATCACAGTTGGCCTAATTCTGTACAATTAAGATTTGTTTTTAAAAAAATAAAAAAATAAATCACTACAAATTTCGAACAAATTCTCCCCCTCCCAAAAACCCTCCCAAGCTCTTCAAACTTTATCTCTATCATATTGAGACAATCTATCTTTAGGATTATTTAGCATTTAAAAAATCATGTTGAAAGTAACATCTGTTACCCCCAATAACTCTGTTGCCGTATCACAATAATCTTCAACCTGGCATTTCTGCTTTCCACAATCCGAGTCGTGGTGATCATCTTTCCAATGAAGGCTATGAAGTCAGTTTGATGTATTATCAAAGTGTCCTTTAACACAGCACATTAGAGCTGAGCAATATGGCCTACAAATCCGATCTCTATTTATTTATTTTTATTTTTATTAATTTTTTAACTTATGGGCGATTCACATATCAACTTTTTAAAAAAAATTCTCAAAATAAGCTTTGTTTCACAATTAAAGGTCAAATACACTGCATTTCAAACAGTCAGCAATAATCGAATTAATTCACGGCTTGTAAAATTATACCTAGGCTAAATATAAGCTTTCAACCATGAGACCTACTAATAATTGAATTATTTTATCAAAATAGTTTAACCTGCTTTTTTCCAATAATCACTTATCTGGCTTTCAAGTCTATGAAGATGCCCTTTTTGTTACAAATGTAACCTGAACCATGCACATCCATTAATAATGACCAACTTCTGGTAGCAGGCAATATAGAAAATTAACAGGTCTCATAAACAATCTCTCAATCACAAGCCCACCTGCAAGTGACAGGGTTTGTACGGTCATGAAAATCCTGGAATGGAATTTTTTATAGTGTTTTCCAGGCCTGGAAAAGTTTTGGAAAATGATCAAATCTGAAAAGTCTGGAAAAATATTGTAATAATTTATGTTAATGTAATTTATTTAGACAGTCTCGGAATTACACTTTAGCGCGTCTGTGTTTGCGCGCATCACCTACATATGTGCAAGACGAGTGGGCCGTTGCTCAAGGAGAGCGAGACAGTCGGACATTTGCAGCAGCAGGTAGGCCTTTAAATAGAGAACAGACTAATAACTAGGTAGCCAATTCAAAACATATTTTGTACTCTAGTTAACTGTTTAGCTATTATTAGCATGTTTTCGTCATGTCCTAGTGGGCTAAACTCCAATTCCATCTGTCAACATCTATATGATCCCTGTAGTGAGAAGCCAGCTAATCTTTATATTTAAAGTCTAGCCAACTTGGATCTACTTGTTTGCTAACAAGGTAGAACAGTCAAACTGTTATGAATACACCCTCCTGTCCGTCTCCAACTGTTTGAACCACATAGCCTGTTCACTTTGTTTAGATGTTGAAATCAAGTGGCCTACCTGGATAAGAAGATGCTTATTTCTCAGAATGAGAAGGAGTTGCCAATTCCTGATACAAATGTGTATTTTTATGCTCATTGCACATTTATAAAACACAGACCAGACAGCTAGCGCATAAGTCTGTGGCTAAAATGCTGCTAGGTTCTGCTCTGTTCAACATTTTGTGAGTTGAGACATAAAAATGGTATCATTAAAGGTTCAGTTCTCCTCCATTACAGTAAAATAATGTCTCCATGTGTTTCGGTGTCCACATGACCGATTTACGTTGGACCAAACATCAAATGCAAATAGCTAGTTTTAAACTGCTTGTTTTCAGAGTGGAAGAAGTTTACATTATATGACCAAAACTATGTGGACACCTGCTCGTCGAACATCTCATTCCAAAATAATGGCCATTAATATGGAGTTGGTCCCCCTTTTGCTGCTATTACAGCCTCCACTCTTCTAGGAAGGGTTTCCACTAGATGTTGGAACATTGCTGCGGGGACTTGCTTCCATTCAGCCACGAGCATTAGTGAGGTCGGGCAATGATGTTGGGCGATTAGGCCAAGAGTGTGCAAAGCTGTCATCAAGGCAAAGGGTGGCTATTTGAACAATCTGAAATATAAAATATGTTTTGATTTGTTTAACACTTTTTGGGTTACTACATGATTCCATATGTGTTATTGCATAGTTTTGATGTCTACACTATTATTCTACAAAGTAGAAAATAGTAAAAAAATAATGAAAAACCCTTGAATGAGCAGGTGTTCTAAAGCTTTTGACTAGTACTGTACCTTTGTACATAGTCTATATTTTGTGTCAGGGGAAGGGGCTTGGCGTCTGTGTGCGAGTGGGAAGAGTGGGAAGGTGACAGTAAACACAGCACAGAAGGAGGGGGGGCTTGGTGTGCCAGTGGGAAGGTGCACACCAGCACAGAAGGAGGGGGGGCTTGGGTGTGCCAGTGGGGAAGGTGAACACAGCACAGAAGGAGGGGGGGGCTTGGTGTGCCGTGGGAAGGTGACAGTGAACACAGCACAGAAGGAGGGGGGGCTTGGTGTGCCAGTGGGAAGGTGCACACAACACGCACAGAAGGAGGGGGGGGCTTGGGTGTGCCAGTGGGGAAGTGCACAGTGAACACGGCACAGAAGGATGGGGGGGCTTGTGTGCCAGTGGGAAGGTGACAGTGAACACAGCACAGAAGGAGGGGGGGCTTGGTGGTGCCACTGGGAAGGTGCACAGTGAACACAGCACAGAAGGAGGGGGGGCTTGGTGTGCCAGTGGGAAGAGTGCAGTGACAGTGAACACAGCACAGAAGGAGGGGGGGCTTGGTGTGCCAGTGGGAAGGTGACAGTGAATACAGCACAGAAGGAGGGGGGGCTTGGTGTGCCAGTGGGAAGGTGCACAGTGAACACAGCACAGAAGGAGGGGGGGCTTGGTGTGCCAGTGGGAAGGTGACAGTGAACACAGCACAGAAGGAGGGGGGGCTTGGTGTGCCAGTGGGAAGGTGAACACAGCACAGAAGGAGGGGGGGGCTTGGTGTGCCAGTGGGAAGGTGAACACAGCACAGAAGGAGGGGGGGCTTGGTGTGCCAGTGGGAAGGTGAACACAGCACAGAAGAGGGGGGGCTTGGTGTGCCAGTGGGAAGGTGAACACAGCACAGAAGGAGGGGGGGCTTGGTGTGCCAGTGGGAAGGTGACAGTGAACACAGCACAGAAGGAGGGGGGCTTGGTGTGCCAGTGGGAAGGTGAACACAGCACAGAAGGAGGGGGGGCTTGGTGTGCCAGTGGAAGGTGAACACAGCACAGAAGGAGGGGGGCTTGGTGTGCCAGTGGGAAGGTGAACACAGCACAGAAGGAGGGGGGGCTTGGTGTGCCAGTGGGAAGGTGAACACAGCACAGAAGGAGGGGGGGCTTGGTGTGCCAGTGGGAAGGTGAACACAGCACAGAAGGAGGGGGGGCTTGGTGTGCCAGTGGGAAGGTGAACACAGCACAGAAGGAGGGGGGGCTTGGTGTGCCAGTGGGAAGGTGAACACAGCACAGAAGGAGGGGGGGCTTGGTGTGCCAGTGGGAAGGTGAACACAGCACAGAAGGAGGGGGGGCTTGGTGTGCCAGTGGGAAGGTGAACACAGCACAGAAGGAGGGGGGGCTTGGTGTGCCAGTGGGAAGGTGCACAGTGAACACAGCACAGAAGGAGGGGGGGGCTTGGTGTGCCAGTGGGAAGGTGCACAGTGAATACAGCACAGAAGGAGGGGGGCTTGGTGTGCCAGTGGGAAGGTGAACACAGCACAGAAGGAGGGGGGGCTTGGTGTGCCAGTGGGAAGGTGAACACAGCACAGAAGGAGGGGGGGGGCTTGGTGTGCCAGTGGAAGGTGAACACAGCACAGAAGGAGGGGGGGCTTGGTGTGTCCAGTGGGAAGGTGCACAGTGAATACAGCACAGAAGGAGGGGGGGCTTGGTGTGCCAGTGGGAAGTGACAGTGAATACAGCACAGAAGGAGGGGGGGCTTGGTGTGCCAGTGGGAAGGTGCACAGTGAATACAGCACAGAAGGAGGGGGGGCTTGGTGTGCCAGTGGGAAGGTGCACAGTGAATACAGCACAGAAGGAGGGGGGGCTTGGTGTGCCAGTGGGAAGGTGACAGTGAACACAGCACAGAAGGAGGGGGGGCTTGGTGTGCCAGTGGGAAGGTGCACAGTGAACACAGCACAGAAGGGGGGGGGGCTTGGTGTGCCAGTGGGAAGGTGAAATACAGCACAGAAGGAGGGGGGCTTGGTGTGCCAGTGGGAAGGTGACAGTGAATACAGCACAGAAGGAGGGGGGGCTTGGTGTGCCAGTGGGAAGGTGAACACAGCACAGAAGGGGGGGGGGCTTGAATAACAACAAAAAAATCCAGAAAAGAGACAGAATAACAACAACAACAAAAACAGAAAAACGCATTTCAAAAATGTTATAAATTGATTTGCATTTTAATGAGGGAAATAAGTATTTCACCCCTCTGCAAAACATGACTTAGTACTTGGTGGCAAAACTCTTGTTGGCAATCACAGAGGTCAGACGTTTCTTGTAGTTGGCCACCAGGTTTGCACACATCTCAGGAGGGATTTTGTCCCACTCCTCTTTGCAGATCTTCTCCAAGTCATTAAGGTTTTGAGGCTGACGTTTGGCAACTCGAACCTTCAGCTCCCTCCACAGATTTTCTATGGGATTAAGGTCTGGAGACTGGCTGAGCCACTCCTTTGTTGCCTTGGCCGTGTGTTTTGGGTCATTGTCATGCTGGAATACCCATCCACAACCCATTTTCAATGCCCTGGCTGAGGGAAGGAGGTTCTCACCCAAGATTTGATGGTACATGGCCCCGTCCATCGTCCCTTTGATGCGGTGATGTTGTCCTGTCCCCTTAGCAGAAAAACACCCCGAATGCATAATGTTTCCACCTCCATGTTTGACGGTGGGAATGGTGTTCTTGGGGTCATAGGCAGCATTCCTCCTCCTCCAAACACGGCGAGTTGAGTTGATGCCAAAGAGCTCGTTTTTGGTCTCATCTGATCACAACACCCAGTTCTCCTCTGAATCATTCAGATATTCATTGGCAAATTTCAGACGGGCATGTATATGTGCTTTCTTGAGCAGGGGGACCTTGTGGGCACTGCAGTATTTCAGTCCTTCACGGCGTAGTGTGTTACCAATTGTTTTCTTGGTGACTATGGTCCCAGCTGCCTTGAGATCATTGACAAGATCCTCCCGTGTAGTTCTGGGCTGATTCCTCACCGTTCTCATGATTATTGCAACTCCACGAGGTGAGATCTTGCATGGAGCCCCAGGCCGAGGGAGATTGACAGTACTTTTGTGTTTCTTCCATTTACGAATAATCGCACCAACTGTTGTCACTTTCTCACCAAGCTGCTTGGCGATGGTCTTGTAGCCCATTCCAGCCTTGTGTAGGTCTACAATCTTGGCCCTGACATCCTTTAGAGCTCTTTGGTCTTGGCCATGGTGGAGAGTTTGGAATCTGATTGATTGATTGCTTCTGTGGACAGGTGTCTTTTTATACAGGTAACAAGCTGAGATTAGGAGCACTCCCTTTAAGATTGTGCTCCTAATCTCAGCTCGTTACCTGTATAAAAGACACCTGGGAGCCAGAAATCTTTCTGATTGAGATGGGGTCAAATACTTATTTCCCTCATTAAAATGCAAATCAATTAAATATTTTTGACATGCGTTTTTCTGGATTTTTTTGTTGTTATTCTGTCTCTCACTGTTCAAATAAACCTACCATTAAAATTATAGACTGATCATTTCTTTGTCAGTGGGCAAACATACAAAATCAGCAGGGGATCAAATACTTTCTTCCCTCACTGTACATAACCTAACACACTAATGCGTATCCAAACAAAAATGTTGACAATAGATTTGTTCATTATTGTAAACAGGAAAGGTTTTCTTTATTCCCAGATTTAAGACTAATGTCCCGTGTTGTCCCTCCTCTCCCCTCGTACTGTAGGTTCGTGGTGGGCTCCAACCGGGTCATCTTCATGCTGCGAGACGGCAGCTTCGCCTGGGAGGTCAAGGACTTCCTGGTGGCCCAGGAGCGCTGCGCCGAGGTCACCGTGGAAGGTCAGGTGTTCCCCGGGAAGGCCGCCAAGGAAGATGGCAGCGCCAAGGCAAAGCAGCAGAATGAAGTGAACACCAAAAAGAAGGGCAAGAAGAAGTCGGAGGGCAAGAAACCCGACCTGGACGGCAACAGAGCAAGTAAACCCAAGGTTGAACTGTGATTGGCTGAGCGAGAGAGAGAGAGATGGGATTGGCAGAACAATCACAGGGCCTATCCAGAACAGAAACAACCCCTAGCTTCTTTCACTTAAGTATTTCAGATCTGAGGCCAATGGTTAAAAGCAAAATGCATTTGACTACTACCTATCCTTTCAATCAGGCTTTATGGAGCTGCTACAGATCTGCAGACACTGAAGTGGTAGAGGCTAGGGGAAGGGACTTGGAGAGAGGTCCAACGGTGACTCAGCACAAGTTAGTTTTGTGGCAGTCTGTACTCTATCAAGCCTATTAAATCCAGGGTCAATGACTGACCTCAGAGCAGGTGTTAAAGTGTAGCGTTGAGGTTTACAGTGTCTTTTACACACCTGTCACTGAGTCTGAAGGTCAACATGTTATTTTGTACGGCTTGTCAATGACTTGTCTCTTTTACAATGTAGGGGCTGTGTCAGAGAATGTGAAAAATTGTATTTTGAAACGAGTTATGAATCCAACCAGTGCTTCAATATTACTTTTTGTCATTGTTTTCCACTATACTGTTCGACAAACAGTACATTTGTTAGAGGCATTGTATTTCATTATTCCAATAAAACATTTAAGTAATACAGGAAATGATTTGAGCACAAACTGATTTTCCTACATGTGCCAAAACCACTGATTTTAGAATTGAGAAAGGCCAAGTACTGCACTACGTAGGGAATGGGGTGTGTCATTAGGGACACACACATAGATAACTGTTGATTTCTTGTGTTCACCTTCAATAATACAGTTGAGTTCAGTATTGACTTGTAGCATACAATTGCAGTGGTCACATTGTACATGGATCTTCACTAAATTACAGAATAAAATGATTTTCTTTCTTTGTCAATCCTGTGAAAAGGGAGTCCTTGTTGGTTAAGTGAATGGGTTGCTTTGTGTAATATGACAACTGAGAGACATCTCCTCATCCTATTTTACAATTTTCCTCTTTTCGTCCCTGTCTTCCCATTTCTCACACTTCTTATTCTGGCGTAGCTGTCTGCCACATCCCTGAAGGGGGGTGTGTGTGTGTGTGTGAACACATTCCGCTTGGAAGGAGCAACAAATAAATGTAACTTGATAGTCATGTCCAGTCCACTGCGTTATGAGACTATCTGCCTGTCCATACAGACTCCCTCCAACTGTGTTGGGATTTGTATTGTCATGTTCTGTGTATCCCGTCTGGCATGTTATCTAAACGCTGGTGGACCGGAAGGAATGATGTTAAGCCTAGATTCAATCAGTTCAGCATTAACCTGCTATAACCAACAAACTTTCAGTTTTTAGTTTTCTGATATAATACTTGGGCTGGATTCAATCCTTATCATCTAAGTATCACGGAAGATCCACGTTAAAATGTAAAGGTAATTTCCCATTGAGTGGACATGCAGCGTTTACTGTTAACGCAGTCTCCGCGAGAGCCGGGGAACATTGCCTTATAATTGTCAATCACGCTATAAAGCGGATCTTCAGCACTACGGATTGAGTAGAGCGCCTGATTTTTCCTTTACATAAGCCAACAGAGCCCCAGTGTTGTGTTTTAGAAGCAAGTAGGAAGCTCACAGTGTTACTGGGAGCTGGAGCACTGCAGAGGATTGGAGGCATCCGCTTAACGAGTCCTCTCTCTAGCGCTCGCACTCTCTCAGCATGTGAGCATAGCTCGGCATTCCACAATGATTTATAATGGGCCTGGAACCACACCCTTTACTCTGAACACACACACACAAAGGAACCAGTGCATGAGAACCAATGGGGCTGGAGCCAACCATTGCCCCTTGCTGATGGTAATTCCAACCTCCAGAACCCATTAACTTCTCCAATAACGCTGCAAACGGCACCCTATTACCTAGTGCACGTCTTTTGACCAGGGCCCATAGGGAATAGGGTGCCGTTTGGGACAAAACCTAAGAATCCCAAACCAAAGTGTCTGTTGAAACGTGTAGGCTAATGGTTGAAATGTGGAACTGATGTGTTTCTTGGTTCAAACAATAATTGGATAACCGGTAGTAGAACATCAGAAATGTGTTACCGGAACGTTAACTGGTGTTTCTTTGCAGAAAGTCTTTATTGAGGTGCGCGCGCACACACACACACACACACGCACGCTTATAAATTCAGAGTAACACTCAGTTCAGTTATTGATTTATTTCTGTACAAAAGTCATTTAAAGATGTTAAGTCATGACATTTAATTACTTTACAATCCCAAGTCACATATAGTACATCACATCCATTTGGTGTAGGGTTAAAACAAAACAACGTGGTACCTACGATGGGTCATATTATGTCATATAGCAGTGTTTAGTATGATTGTTTTGAAATGCTATAGTATTATTTTTCTTACATACAATTCAGGACCAGAATACATTACAACTCAAAAGATGTCCCTTGTAGATTTTGTTCAATTGTGTCTGTACAATAAATAAGTATAAAATATATCTCTGTTATCAATCTGTGGAATTTTTAAAAACACATTTAAACATACAAAACACTAACAACTACCACGTCCGAAAAAAGACCAGCTATTTCGGGCAAAGGGAAACGTTTATCTGATTCTTGCCAGATTTGTTGAAAAATCGCTAATTTATAATCAATTTATAAATTGCTTAAATAACATTTATAGTTTTGATTTGGGAATATTGTCTAAGACCAGATAGCACTTTAGAAGTGATCAAAAAATGTCCTTGGATATATTCAGGATCATTTTGGGGTTTCTTTACATGCTGGTATGTTTAATAAAACACAGACCGATGGACCACACACGTTGATATGAACAGTTATATGAAACCAAACATTGCACAATATCAAGTTAAAGATCTAGAGCTCTCACATACAGCACAGGGAAACAGCTTCTCTGGAATGGAATCTTAGGGCCAGATGGACTAAATGTTTGCACCTGGTGCAAAGTCTGGTGCAAAGTTTGCACCTGTTTTTTATTCAGTAGGAGGGTAACACACACACACAAAAACAACAACATTAAATTGTCTTCATTTACCTAAAAAATGTATTCTGTTCATCATAAAAGGTCCAATGCAGCCGTTTTTATCTCAATAGCAAATCATTTCTGGGTAACAATTAAGTACCTTGTTTTTAATAAAAATGGTCAAAATGAAATAAAAATAGCTTCTTAGCAAAGAGCAATTTCTCAAGCAAGGATTTAGCTAGGACTGGCTGGGAGTGGTCTATGTTGGGAGGGGAAAACTGAAAACTAGCTGTTATTGTCAGAGAGGTTTGGAACTCTCTTTGTTATTGGTCTATTAACTAATTTACAAAACTCCATCCCACCAAAACAGGCTGAAATTTCAGGTGGTCTTTTCAAACAGCTCTTACACTAAAAGGGCATTATCATAATTTCACAGTATTATTCCAACCTCAGTGTGGAAATACAGTACCAGTCAAAAGTTTGGACACACCTACTCATTCAAGGGTTTTTCTTTATTTTTTTACTATTTTCTACATTGTAGAATAATAGTGAAGACATCAAAACTATGAAATAACACATATGGAATCATGTAGTAACCAAAAAAAGTGTTAAACAAATCAAAATATATTTTATATTTGAGATTCTTCAAAGTAGCCACCATTTGCCTTGATGACAGCTTTGCACACTCTTGGCATTCTCTCAACAGCTTCATGAGGTAGTCACCTGGAATGCATTTCAATTAACAGGTGTGCCTTGTTAAAAGTTAATTTGTGGAATTTCTTTCCTTCTTAATGCGTTTGAGCCAATCAGTTGTGTTGTGACAAGGTAGGGGTGGTATACAGAAGATAGCCTATTTGGTAAAAGACCAAGTCCATATTATGGCAAGAACAGCTCAAATAAGCAAAGAGAAATTACAGTCAATCATTACTTTAAGACATGAAGGTCAGTCAATCCGGAAAATGTCAAGAACTTTGAAAGTTTCTTCAAGTGCAGTCGCAAAAACCATAAAGCGCTATGATGAAACTGTCTCTCATGAGGACCGCCACATAAAAGGAAGACCAAGAGTTACCTCTGCTGAAGAGGATAAGTTCATTAGAGTTAACTTCACCTCCGATTGCAGCCCAAATAAATGCTTGACAGAGTTCAAGTAACAGACACATCTCAACATCAACTGTTCAGAGGAGACTGCATGAACCAGGCCTTCATGGTCGGATTGCTGCAAAGAAACCACTACTAAAGGACACCTTTGGTCTGATGAGTCCAAATTTGAGATTTTTGGTTCCAACCACCATGTCTTTGTGAGATGCAGAGTAGGTGAACGGATGATCTCTGCATGTGTGGTTCCCACCGTGAAGCATGGAGGAGGAGGTGTGATGGTGCTTTGCTGGTCACTCTGTCTGTGATTTTTTTCGAATTCAAGGCACACTTAACCAGCATGGCTACCACAGCATTCTGCAGCGATACGCCATCCCATCTGGTTTGCCCTTAGTGGGACTATCATTTGTTTTTCAACAGGACAATGACCCAACACACCGCCAGGCTGTGTAAGAGCTATTTGACCAAGAAGGAGAGTGATGGAGTGCTGCATCAGATGACCTGGCCTCCACAATTCCCCGACCTCAACCCAATTGAGATGGTTTGGGATGAGTTGGACCGCAGAGTGAAGGAAAAGCAGCCAACAAGTGCTCAGCATATGTAGGAACTCCTTCAAGATTGTTGGAAAAGCATTCCTCAATCTGCAAAGCTGTCATCAAGGCAAAGGGTGGCTACTTTGAAGAATCTCAAATATAAAATATATTTTGATTTGTTTGACACTTTTTTGGTTACTACATGATTCCATATGTGTTATTTCATAGTTTTGATGTCTTCACTATTATTCTACAATGTAGAAAATAGTAAAAATACAGAAAAACCCTTGAATGAGTAGGTGTGTCCAAACTTGACTGGTACTGTATATTTAAAACACAGGAAAATCACGTGTTTGACAGCACTGGGCCTTTAACCTGTATTTTTCCATTTGGTTCTACTTTAACAGTCACTTAATTTCTCTCTCTTCTACTTCATTGTTCTACTTTTTTGGTCTATTGTGTTAAACGACATTAACTTCCCACTGGAAAACACAGGTGCAAACATTTAGGAAATCTGTCTCTGAGTAGGTTAACACCACTGAGCAGGATGAAAAACAAGGAATATTTGTTGGTCATATTTTCTCTCTTCTCGCATTTTAAAAGTAAAGTATAGTCAAACGAACGATACAGTCGAATCACTCACATAGTCAACACTGTCACATAACGGGAGACCTGCATGGCGGGAAAGTTGATAGTCGACAGAAAAACGCATGCGTTTGATTAGCCGGCCCACACTCTGTAGCCCCTCCTTCTCCACCTCTGTGTGCTTTGATTGGGTCCTTGAGGCGTCAGTCACACCGACACAGTTCGTCAGGGCAGTGCTGGCTCTGGGTCGAAACCATCCCTAACCACAGGTCTAGGATCAGATAACCTATCCACATTACTAACCTTAGTCTTTAGTTGTGAAAAACATCTGATCTTGGAACAGTAGTTATAGGAACAACTTCTACCTACTCCAGTGCTAGGGGCAGTGTGTGTGTGTTTGTGTGGGGGGTGTAGTCATGTGTGTCTCCCCCACTACACCTCCTCTCCTCTCCTCTCCTCTCCTCTCCTCTCCTCTCCTCTCCTCTCCTCTCCTCTCCTCTCCTCTCCTCTCCTCTCCTCTCCTCTCTCATAGCTTCATCTTCTTGACCACAGGGATAGGGAGGACCTGATGGATCTTAGCTCTCTCCTCATCCACCTCCATACGGACCCAGTCAGGTCGGAAAGTGCCCTTGAAGCCTACAAACGTCAGCTTGTCTGAAACACAGAGAAAGAAAGAAATGCCGGCTCAATGTCTGCTGCTCACATTCAGAGTATACATTACTATCTCACTCCCTTCAACAAATCCACAAGAAATACAAGAAACAAGCAAAAAAAAAAGAACACAAAAATCCCCCCCAGAAAATATTCCTAGAAGGACAGAGAGGGAAAGGGGGAGAGGGCGGAGGAACAGGGGAGAGAGGAGGGAGAAAGAAAGAAAGACAAAGCGAGAAAGAGAGCTAGCTGGCATTCCTCCTCCTCCTCCGTTCTCCAGCACTGTGCATACCATTGAGGCGTCTCACCCCATCCAGGAATGACTTCTACACAAATAGACCATTTGTCGTCTCTGGAATTACACCCCACAGTGAGAAAAATGTGTCCCGCAGCCTGCTCCGGGATGTGTAGGGGCGTAGAATCTATTTCGTAGAATGTGTGTGTAAGTGTATGATCTATAATTAGAATTAGAATTTGGAGAAGGATTTCTTTGGCGACATTGAATTCCAAAACGTGGGTTGTGGCAATGTGACTTGAAGATGGAGGGAGTGGGGTTAAGTATGGAGGGATGGAGACATGGAGGGAGGGAGGGAGGGAGGGAGGACCCTGCTGCTCTGGCATGCGGCTAAGTATTGACTACCCCTCTGCACACACACACACACAGACGCACACACACACACACACACACACGTGCATGAGTATTGACTTAGAAATAGCTGAGTCATCATTATGAATCAGGAAGGCTATACATTATTACGTAGGCTACTATGAATCAGCATTTATGAGAGATTGTATGTGAAACACTGTCAGTCCTGAACACTAAACACTGAAAATCATTACAAGCCAGATCATTTTGAATGATTTAATACACTTTTAATAAAAGTTTGCTTACTGGATTTGATAAACGAACAGCACCAGTTTAAAACGTTGAACACTTTTTATAAACCGTTAGTTTCTGTATCCCAACAGTATATCAATAGCACCCTCTAGTGTGTGTCGGTCGAAATCTCCTCCAGGAACTAGTTTAGGATTATAAAGGTTCTATCTGCATTTTTCTCAAAATTGAGTTATTGACACCCTTGTTCTAAATACCCTGATTCATGTTGTTAAGTTAAAAAGCATACCATATTAAAATTCATTCAAACCAATGAGGGTTCGGAACTTTAAAGCTAATAATCTCAGAATCATATTTTTTCAGAAATAACCTTTTAATTCCAAGAAATAAATAATTGACCAGACCTGCGTAGTTAGTTAGTTACCTCTCAACTTGAGGGTCATGTCAGCTCTAAGGCGCTCTAGTAGTTAGTTAGTTAGTTAGTTAGTTACCTCTCAACTTGAGGGTCATGTCAGCTCTAAGGCGCTCTAGTAGTTAGTTAGTTAGCTAGTTACCTCTCAACTTGAGGGTCTTTTCAGCACTAAGAAGCTCCAGTAGTTAGCTAGTTAGTTAGTTACCTCTCAACTTGAGGGTCTTTTCAGCGCTAAGAAGCTTCAGTAGTTAGTTAGTTAGCTAGTTACCTCTCAACTTGAGGGTCTTGTCAGCGCTAAGAAGCTCCAGTAGTTAGTTAGCTAGTTACCTCTCAACTTGAGGATCTTGTCAGCGCTAAGCAGCTCCAGTAGTTAGCTAGTTAGTTAGTTACTTCTCAACTTGAGGGTATTTTCAGCGCTAAGAAGCTCCAGTAGTTAGTTAGTTAGCTAGTTACCTCTCAACTTGAGGGTCTTGTCAGCTCTAAGCAGCTACAGTAGTTAGCTAGTTAGTTAGTTACTTCTCAACTTGAGGGTCTTTTCAGTGCTAAGAAGCTTCAGTAGTTAGTTAGTTAGTTAATTACCTCTCAACTTGAGGGGCTTGTCAGCTCTAAGCAGCTCCAGTAGCTAGTTAGTTAGTTAGTTAGTTAGTTACCTCTCAACTTGAGGGTCTTGTCAGCGCTAAGAAGCTTCAGTAGTTAGCTAGTTAGTTATTTACCTCTCAACTTGAGGGTCTTATCAGCTCTAAGCAGCTCCAGTAGTTGGCTAGTTAGTGAGTTACCTCTCAACTTGAGGGTCTTGTCAGCGCTAAGCAGCTCCAGTAGTTAGCTAGTTAGTTAATTACCTCTCAACTTGAGGGTCTTGTCAGCGCTAAGCAGCTCCAGTAGTTAGCTAGTTAGTTAATTACCTCTCAACTTGAGGGGCTTGTCAGCTTTAAGCAGCTCCAGTAGTTAGCTAGTTAGTTAGTTACCTCTCATCTTGAGGGTCTTGTCAGCTTTAAGCAGCTCCAGTAGTTAGCTAGTTAGTTAGTTACCTCTCAACTTGAGGGTCTTGTCAGCTCCGAGGAGCTCCAGTATTCTGGTCCAGGGGCCCCGAGTCACCAGACGGCCCTTAGACGTTATTATGACGATGGAGCTAGAGAGAGAGAGATAAAGAGGGAGTGAGGGGGAGAGAGAGAGAAGAGAGAGAAAGATGGGGGATGGAGTGGGGGGAAAAGAAGAGAGAGTTAACATTGTTCACTTCAGTGTCTTCCCATTCTAACATGAAAATGTTAGCTTGTGTGTGTGTGTGTGTGTGTGTGTGTGTTCTTACTTGTCTTTCAGGTTGTTAACATAGCTCTCTATCTGGGCAGGTATGCCCTGCAGTATGGAGTTCCTGAAGCCTTTGCTCTCCACCAGTCTCCCGTCATGGCCGTCCATCACCGTCAGCTGCACCCCATCGTCTGGCTGGTACAACTTCCTGCCGTTAACCTGCCCGGCAACCACAATATCCAATCAAGACATCATTTAACAACTTTTTACTCACAGAAAAAGCAAACACACACACACCTCTGTGTAGGCGAAGTCCTCCTTGATGTGGAAGAAGCGTGTGTTGTAGGACTCCAGCTTGACTTCCAGGAAGTGGTCTGTGGTGCGCTGTGAGTGAGTGAGTGAGAGAGTGAGAGTGAGAGTGAGAGTGAGAGTGAGAGAGAGAGAGAGAGAGAGAGAGAGAGAGAGAGAGAGAGAGAGAGAGAGAGAGAGCTTAGGTGGCCGACACTGGTATAGAAATGTCAATCATGTCCACAACACTGCTACAGAGATTTATTGATGAGATGCCAAGACATCTCTTTCTTTACATGACTGTATCAGTAACACTTTATAAAGAGGTTGTAAAGGGTTTAAAATAATGTGAATATACTATGAATAATATGTACTAGTATTACTACAATACTATATACTAGTACATAGTACTATGAATACTACGAATCAGTAATAAACAGTTTACATATGTGTTTGATAAACTATTTAAATATTTTGGTAACTACAAATAACTATTTTACAAAATGATGCAAAGTGTCATTTGTCACATTGTCACCAACAGACCGAGCTCTGTCCTCACCAGCTCGGCGCTGGGCAGTTTCCTTGGCATGGGCACATCTACGATGGGCATCTCTGCATGCAGGGGGTAGGCCTGTGCCATGCAGTCACTGGGGCCGCTGCCCTTAGGGATAACTGCTGTGATTTTAACCCTCTCACAGCCCTTCACTGAACAGAAGGCAAAGTCCTCCTTCTCATTGTAGGCCTTCACTCGGAGGAAGAGCAGGCTGAGAGGGAGACAGGGGAGACAGAGAGTTAATAGAGATTCACTGTGAGGACCAGCAGGCTGAGAGGGAGACAGGGGAGACAGAGAGTTAATAGAGATTCACTGTGAGGACCAGCAGGCTGAGAGGGAGACAGGGGAGACAGAAAGTTAATAGAGATTCACAGTGAGGACCAGCAGGCTGAGAGGGAGACAGGGGAGACAGAAAGTTAATAGAGATTCACAGTGAGGACCAGCAGGCTGAGAGGGAGACAGGGGAGACAGAGTTAATAGAGATTCACTGTGAGGACCAGCAGGCTGAGAGGGAGACAGGGGAGATCAGAGAGTTAATAGAGATTCACTGTGAGGACCAGCAGGCTGAGAGGGAGACAGGGGAGTCAGAGAGTTAATATAGATTCACTGTGAGGACCAGCAGGCTGAGAGGGAGACTACATACTCTTCTACTACACATTCCTGTAGATGGGACAGGAGTAGATAGATGTCTCTCCCTCCTCACCCTCTCTCCTCTCCCCCCTCCCCCCTCCCTCCCTCCTCACCCCCTCTACTCTCTCCCCCCTCCCTCCCTCCTCACCCTCTCTCCCCCTCCCCTCCCCCCTCCCTCCCTCCTCACCCTCTCCCCTCACCCGGTATCTTCCTCCCAGTAGTAATAGCCTCGGGACAGGTGGGACTGGTTGATCTTGTCTCTCTGTGTGGTCCTCATGAACACACCGGTCTTCCTGGTCTGCTTGGTCAGCCGGTTGTGGATGTCCGAGATGACCGTGAAGGTGGTGCCTGGTGGGTAGCAGAAGCCCACGTTGATCCAGTCGTTCCTGGAACACACACACACACACACACACACACAGTTAATCAAGTATATCAAAAAGGACATTTTACAGGAGGCAGCCCATCACTGAGCTAGGGCTAAATACTACTCCCACTCACCTGTCATATGAATTAGTACACACACCGATGCAAAACATTTTGCCGTTCTTTATTGGACAAGTTCAGGTTAGTCTCTCTCTGTTTCAGTCAGCTTTCTTCCGTTTGGTGATAGTGGAACTAGAAACTAGTGAATACGACTCTGCAGTCCCATGTAGCTCAGTTGGTAGAGCATGGCGCTTGCAGCGCCTGGGTTCGATTCCCACGGGGGACCAGTACGAAAAAAGTATTGGATAAGAGCGTCTGCTAAATGACTAAAATGTTAAATGTAATACAGTGTCTATGGCTGAACCTGCAGTTCCATTCCATAAACAATAGATGGCGCCAGAGTAGCATGTAACCAATGGGAATTCCCATATCCCCCAATGTATGCCTCCGAGTCCTTTCGGGGTAATCTCAGGCCAGGGAATAGCTAACACGCTTGAAATGACTACCATGCCTCTGCTATTCAAATGACTGCCAATGCTATTAAGTATATTTGCTGGGCAGGGGCGATGTCATATGCTATGACAAACAGCCACCATAAACTACTGTATCACACTGTCCCTTGGGTTATAGGGTTCAGGGAAGGCAAGGGTGTGACTTGATGATATGGGGTTTATTAATATGACCACGTGGTCAGGGGATGGCTTTGGGTTTCTGGAGTGTGGATGACTCATTGGATGTGGTGCCATGTTGTCGACAGTTTGGATCAGATGCTGAAACAATGCTGGGAGAAGGAATTGAATAGTGTGTGTGTGTGTGTGTGTGTGTGTGTGTGTGTGGGGAGTGCGTGTGTGGTCGAGAGTGTGTTTGTGTGTGTGTGTCTCTCTCTGCATCCACTACCAACCTGTGTAGCCCTTAGCCAGTGTGTGGGTGTCTCTCTCTGTGTGTGTGTGTGTGTGTGTGTGTGTGTGTGTGTGTGTGTGTGTGTGTGTGTGTGTGTGGTGTGTGTGTGTGTGTGTGTGTGTGTGTGTGTGTGTGTGTGTGTGTGTGTGTGTGTGTGTGTGTGTGTGTGTGTGTGTGTGTGTGTGTGTGTGTGTGTGTGTGTGTGTGTGTGTGTGTCTGTGTGTGTGTGTGTGTGTGTGTGGTGGATGGTGTGTGTGTCTGTCTCTCTGTGTCCACTACCAACCTGTTGAAGTTGATGAGCCACACAGTGATCTCTGCAGGAGCGGCCTGGTCCCAGTGTACAGTGTAGCCTTTAGCCAGTGTGACCACAGGCTGGAACTGCTGGTAGTGTTTCCTCTTGCCCAGAGCGCCCTCTAGTGTCAGGGGTCTGTCAGGGTACTCATCCTTTACCATCTGCATGTTCAGACTGGCAGGGTTACGTGTCTGGATGTAGATCTGAGGGACCACACAGACGCACACATTAATACACCAACGCATACAGACACACGTGCAAACACACACGCACACGTGTGTGTGACTAGGATTCAACAGCAATTGTAACTCTTGCACATGAGCATGGCGTTGAAATACTATTAGAACATATTCACTAATCTGGAAGACATTAGAAGGTAAAGAACAGGGATCATTGGGTAAAGGGGATGTGAGTGATTTGAATATGAGGTTACACTGCACAAAAAACCTAGTGTGTTAGCTTTGAGACGAAACTTAACCACCACTTTATTTAAAAGAAAACAACAATAAAAGTAAACAGAATATCTGTCAAAATTAAAACGTTGAAGTGACACCAGCTGTTGGGAGGGCTGTGTTGATGTATGCCATTGCAGGAGGTGCTGGCTAGCAGGGTGGCTAGTGGCGGGTTGGAGCTAACTGTCTCTTAATGGGGTCTGCCCACTGCAGATGAACACTGTGTGTGTGTGTGACTGGTCATGTGTGACACTGTGTAGGTGAGAGTGTCTGTGCATGTGTGTGTGTAAAAGATAGTAGGTCATTTTACGTATGGGTGGTCCTCTGTAGCTCAATTGGTAGAGTATGGCGCTTGTAACGCCAGGGTAGTGGGTTCGATCCCCGGGACCACCCATACGTAAAAATTTATGCACACATGACTGTAAATCGCTTTGGATAAAAGCCTCTACTAAATGGCATATTATTGTGTGTGTGAGAGAGAGAGAAAGAGTGTGTGTGTGTTTTGTGTGTGTGTGTGAGAGAGAGAGAGGGCGTGTGTGTGAGAACATACTGTGTACTCATTTGAGTGTATGTGTTTGTATAAGATACAGTGTGTGTGTGTGCATGCATGCTTGCGTGCACGCTTGTGCGCCTGCTGCATGCTTCCTTCAGCCTGCATGGCGTATGCATACCAACCTGTGCATAATGCCCACTACAGATGGCAGCCCTCCAGTCAGGCACGTCGATACAGTCAGGGTGTCTCAGTAGCCAGTTGTCCTCTTTGACCAGGAAAGCTCCAGGGTACTCACTGACCGAGCCGTCCACATCATGGAATATCGTGGTCTTATCACCGTCCATCTGCATCTTGTTAAACCATGGGCCGGGCTCGCCGAAAAACACCCGGGATGTTATCTGATAAGAAGAGCAGGGGGTAGAGGGGGAGGAAGGGGGAGAGGGGAGAAGAGGAGAGGAGAGGAGAGGAGAGGAGAGGAGAGGAGAGGAGAGGAGAGGAGAGGAGAGGAGAGGAGAGGAGAGGAGAGGAGAGGAGAGGAGAGGAGAGGAGAGGAGAGGAGAGGAGAGGAGAGGAGAGGAGAGGAGAGGAGAGGAGAGATGCTGGATTCAGTGAGTGTCATGGAGGTGAGAACCAACAGCATGTCTCACCTGTAAGACCCGTATGCTTATGGCACTACAATAACCATAAGCCAACATGAAAGCTCTTGCCCAAAATGTGCATTTACGCTTTAGCGCAAACATATACACACACACACACACACAATACACCACAACTCCCTTCACGTGCACAGATAATTGCTAACCAGCGGGATACAATCCCCCCCACACATACACACACACTCACACTCACACACACTCACAGGCACGTCGTCGAAGGTGATGTCGGTGACGTTGTTGTTAGGGCAGCTCTGCCAGGAGTTGTTGAGTCTGAAGCCAAAGGCGCTGGTGTGTCGCCCGTCCAGGGCAATGTATTTTCGGAAGGTGCAGTTCTGCACGTTGATGGGCCCGTCGTAAATCTGCATACCGCGGATGGGGAAGTCACTACAGGACAAACATACAGAGAGTCAGAAAGACCAGTTAGAGGGAGAGAGACGAGTTAGAGAGAGTAAGAGAGCGAGAGAGACCGAGAAATTGACGGACAGACAGAGAGACAGACCCTGGTCAAAAGTAGCGCACCATATAGGGAATAGGGTGCTATTTGGGACACAGTCAAGATCATGTGTGGTTTGCGATGCTATGTTCCCAAGTGTGTCGGAGGGAACATCATTGTCTCTTTCAGCACACAGACAAAGCTCTGTGGTATCGAATATTAGATAACAGCTGCATCTTGGGACCGTTTTGTAACAGTATGCAAAAGTTCAATTGTGGTTGCAAATTATCATTTTCTCTCCAGATAGCATCTCATGTACTATTGAGACAGATGATGGATGACGTGTTTCTTTCACCCAGACAATGAAAGAATGTCCGATATGCACAAGTTGAGACATACTTCTATTCATACTTTCTGTCTGGCCAAGCACGCAAAACACTGGAAAGGGAAAAGTTGAAGGGGTTCATTTCAGGGTAAAATGTGAATGAGGAGAGGAGAAGGAGAAGGGGAGTAGAGGAGAGGAGAACAAGACATTAACAGACAGAGAAAAGAAGAGGAGAGGGAGAGAGACACACAGTGTGTGTGTGTGTGTATACGAGCCAACACTCACACTCCTCGAGGCAGGGTCCTCCCGTTGAGGTCGGGCCCCCCGGGGCCCCAGATACGGTTGTCAGGAATGGGCATCCCCCTGTTCTTACTCTCCCCAACAAACAGACTGTTCTTCACCTCCTGACGAGACCCATCGTCGTCGGGGAATGTACCACCACTACACAGACACGGAAAGACAGAGAGAGAGTGAGAGAGAGAAAGAGTTTGTGTGTGTGTGTGTGTGTGTTAATTTCATCAAACAATAACTATGACGAAAAATACTTGTCATTTTAGTCGACCAAAATGTAATGAGACGAGAATTCCAAGTGAGACTAATGGACATTTAATTTGACATAAAGCTCATTTTCATCTGTTTTGTCCAATCCTAAGCATGCGTACAGAATATTTCATGCAATCCTCTCATTGGCAGAATTGACATCTTTCATTTGTGTGGTCTGATTGGCTGATCTGCCCGGCTCTCCCACATAGCTCCCAGGCGGTCCCTTCAGTCACTCGTCAATCTTTTGAGTTGATGCGAAGCCAGGACACTTGACTTGTAACTAAACTAAACTAGAAACAATACTCATTCTCTCTTACTTTCATGTAGGCTATTTTTGCTTTGATCAGATCAGAAGCTCTATATTTTCCCATTTGCACTTTTATTCATGAATCTGTGTTGCTGCTCTCACGCCGCTCTTGTGGTAGCTTTTTGTCCTAAGGGAAAAAGGAATGGTATGTGTTGAAAGTTAGGAGGACAGTAATACTTCTGTCATTTCTGGAAAGGTAGAATTCTCCCCTTTTTAAAGAGAAAAGTGTTATTTTCCTCCTTAACGGTTTTGATGGGGGGGAATCACAGCCGTACATTGTTTAACCTCTAGCCAAGGCTTTATAGCCTACATGATTAATTATGGCTGGTATTGGTTACAGTCTGCCACAATATCAATGTTGCCAGCTAAGGTGTAGTAGGGGACAGTAAGCCTATCTGGACAAGGCTATCTTAATGTGGACATGATGGAAGTTAGAAGTAGCCCAAATATTCATGATTTAAGATAATTTTTTAAACTATTATGTGACTAAAATGTCTGTGTCTAAAACTAGACAAATATTGTCCAGAGTTTTAGTTGACTGATAATAACTAAAACTAACAAAGGATGAAATGACTAAAATGTGACTAAAAGGT